CTTTTCCCCCCTCCCCCAACCAGCCTTGCAGCCAAATTTGCGGTGCTGCGGTCGCGGCAGCCTTGCTTACCTTTCAAGCGTTCTCGTGGCCCTGTTGCAAGCCCCGATTTTTCACCACTTCCTAGCACTTCTCTACCACAGTTTTTCCGGCATCCCTGGAACTGGCATAGGCTGCAGATGGCTTTGGTGGGACTATTTAGGGTGATCGTATCGAATGACGGGCAAGGTTAATGGCCAGCGCCTGGCTTCATCTCAATAGACCAGTCTATCGAGATGAAGCCAGGGTCGCTATTCACGGAAGGGAATTATATGCAGGGACTTGTACGGTGCAATATGTAGCGCTAGAGTATCTGCGTCGGCGCGTCAGCTGGTCAATTCCGTAAGGTTCCGGTGCTAGACAAATGGCACAATGGTTTGGATGCGCAGGTCGCCTGGCAATCGGACGAAGCGCGGCTGTAACAACGCGCATTCCTATTTTAACACGCGAAATTATGTTTGGCGTGTGTACGCGTCTCGGACAGAGCAACTTGCGAAGATGTATGCTGGACACAGCAGCGACGCTCTGCAAAGACGTGCCAAACCATGACAGTAAACATTTTGGAGGGTTTCGCTCTGTATTTAGGGACCAACGCCGATTTGTTCAATTTGTTGATGGCTTTCAGGCAGCTTTTCTTGGCAACAGTTCAGTCGAAATAGCGGTGCAAAACTGGTTGCTGTGGCTTCCTTTGCTGCGCTGTTCCCTTACGCGGCAGCCGCATATCGTGTCTAGTGCCTTTGGATTGCGCGGTAGTTGACCTGCATTCCGTGCAAGTGACAATGTGCGTGCGCGCGCACCGCTTAATTGACTTGATTTGTGAGTTTTCTGCGGCGCATGGGACTCTGCAGAGGTACTGGGGTCGCCCCTGGTTGCTTGAGCAAACTGCAGCCGAAATTGCACTACTTGTGCACGTGATCTTCAGGAGTTGTTCGCGTTGCAAAATGTCCAAATACATTCAGGCCATGCATGCAACCACCATCGGTCCAATGAACAAGATTGGTACAAGTCGCAAGAAGCAACTAAATGAGAGGCCAATTCACTCTTCCCATCGCACAATTGTGAAAACAACGGTCCATGCCGGCGTCAGCGGACGCCTGGAGTGATGTACTGCTGGTCATCAATTTTGTAAGAGAACGGGGATGCCCATTCTGCAAAAACGCGAAAAATGCTTGCCATCGATATCGATCCCATCGATGGGATGCAGCAGTTAATCCCGAGGTTCAGCATCGTGGAAAGTGTTTGAAACTTTGCTGCAGTGGTCGGCAGTCGCAGCGAGACTGGCGTGTGGACGTATGCGCACAGTTCAGATGCACAAAATTCAAACGAAATCGCGAAACGTTTCGCGTTAACGACTGGCAACACATGTGCCCAATAGAAGGCAACGAGAGACACCAAAAGCTAGGCGCCAGACGTTTGGCCAACTCCTCCAGACTGGGAAGCCGACGGTGGTGCGGCAAGGTAGTTACAACTGCTTTGTGTAAGTTAGCCTGCATTCTGCACCCGTTATTGGCTTGCTGCCGTTTTGCCTTTCCACTGCGGAAAACTTTTCTACGAGGTGAGCAACAGCGCAGCTGTCCGAACTGTCCTGCCCATCCGGCATTTAGTTTGAGCTGGCAATACCTTCCGTATGCTTTGACAAGGAACATGATTACGAAATTACCAAGAGCAGCATAAGTGCCCCGAATGCACCACGTTGGTTCGACGCAGCGGTTGCCTCATGTTACTCCCTTGTTTTGTCGCAAAGCCTCTCAGGCTTCACCTCACACGAGTCCCATCGCAAAACGTCCATCTCACTCTGTTGTTGGAAACACTACATCGTGTATGGTACTTCATATGTTGTGTCCTATTGCCCTCCACTTACCGTGAGTTCTTCAGATCAATCATCTGCAACTCCATCCATATCACATCATTCGATCGTCATTACCGCAGATTTATTGCCTATTTTGGAATATGCAACAATTGTGTAGATCTAGAAAATACATTTCACCGTCAAAACCCTTGGAATATCTCTGCACATTTCGCTGGCAGAAAACGGTCTTTGGCAATGCCAATTACGAAGCCATTTGGGACTCTAAATGGCACCATCACATTGATTGCGATGGTATCGCAGTAACTGAGATGGCAGTATATAGTGCCGAATCACAGTTGACATCTCCCAACCAAGCGTTTCTAATAGTTTTGCTCCCTGCCCAGTAAACTCGATCCTGGCAGTTCCATTGTGATTGAGGCGATGGGGCGGCGTCTGAACGTGACATCCATGTACTACCAATTAAATGGCCAGGCCTCAGAGCTGACCGCTATGGTCTGTTTTGGAGGCCGTCTGTCGGTGGCAGTCCCTCAGCGATCACTTACGAATCTGGCCTGCTGTCGTGGCGCATGGGTCGAGTTGGTGCGCCTGATGCAGCTCGCCGTTCGTGCTTTGGATTTCAACGGAGCTGTGCCCTCAGGGGTGGAGAATCTACAGAGCGTATAGTTCTAACTGAACAGTTAGATCTAACTGAATACAGTAGGGGTCCCTATATAGCTCCCTGACATGGCCACAAGGGGGCGCTATTGTGTTAACTTTGTTTTAATGCATTTAATTGTAGTTTAAATCAATGTCGTTTTCTGTAATGACCCCTGCTGGCACTGTGGCGGCGCCTGGCGACAGCGTCAAGTGGCAGTGTGCCAGCGCAGCAGCGTGGCATCGTGGCAGCATGGCAGTGCGGTAGAGTGGCCGTGTGGCAGTGTGGTAGGGTGGCAGCGAGGCGGGGTGGCAGCGTGGCGGGATGGCGGCGTGGCGGCGCTGTTGTGATCATTGCGGGCGTTTGATGGCTGCACGACTGGTGTGCCCAGTCTGCCAAGTCAGTGCTGGGTTCCGTGGCGTTCTGTTCGGGTCGCCAATTAATGGGGCTCAACAAAAAGTTAGTGCAATAATGATTTCACTCAGCTGACGACCCGTGAGGTCTAGATATGATGCAGAGGAATGTCAACAACCTCAGCACCTTCGCCACACTGATCGTCATCACATTGCAAGCTCAAGGCACTCAGAATGCACGGAGATGATTTTTATGACAAAGATAGATGATGGCAACTGTATCACACGCCCAAAGAGTTCACTGAGATACCATAAAGATGCTGAGCACAACGCCAATACGTGGCAGCGCATCACACGGAGATACATGAGTCAAACATGACCAAAATACGCCTTGGAGTACTGCGGAGCACCCGGGTTGCCACTGGACACGTGCGTTTGTTTGGGAGCTGCCCACCTGGCGGTCTGCCATGGATCGTGGCGAAATGGGGCCAGGAGGGGCGCGTCAAGGCGCCACGCCCTTGTTTGATGGGAATATGCCCCGTGGGGCATAACGTGGTTGCTAACCACGGGAAATGTGACTGCTTGGTGAGAATGTGGCGCTTGGGGCACCATGGTGGCTGATTGTGGGCAGTGGGGCGTCCTAGGTTGAGTTGTGGTGAAGCAGCGGGCGTAGCAGGAAGATTCTGGGTATCAAAAGAGCATCTCTTTGGAATGGGGGTGTTTTGCCAAAGGGCGCGGACAGTGCAAAGGGGGAACTCTCTATTGTTGCACTCGGCCTGGCACCTGTAAGAATGGTTGCGTGGGGTTTGTGTGTCTCTCGTGCAGCACTCTAGGCGCTCAATCTGGCTGCCTGGACCCCCTGACGCACAACCTGTCGGCGAGTGTGAGCATCAAAGCACCCGGTGCACAGATCGGCTGTGATGCCAAAGCAACTGATCAAGAGTTTTTTTGATGACAATGAGGGCGACTACGATGATGGAAGCCCCTGCGGCCCGGATTTTATGGAAGACGCAACTTCTAGTAGCGATGAGGATTCCGGCGGGGATATGGAGATAGATTTGAATGATGATGATGAGAGAAGAAGAATGGAAGCCGCAGCATTGGGCACCCTTTCCTATCCATCCATTCTGCTGGCTGCGAGGAGACCACGTGGGCAGTGCCCACTTTGCTGTGCATAGATGGAGATCCGCCATGGAAGACACACCTCCCTTGGCCTCCAGGGAGGCCTTGGGCCCGGGCCCCATAGTGGACGCACCGGACATGCCATCTGCCCGTCCATGATATGCCAAATTCGCGGAAACAGATGGCCACCGCGCCATCCGTCCACCAGACACCTCTCTTGGGTGTGTTTGGTTGTCCACAATAGTAACTTGATGTCCCACTGTGCAGCGAAGCTGCACAAAGTACTACAGAAATGGTGACAAGCCAGAAAAGGGGGCGCTATTGGGGGCCGGGGGCGCTATTAGGGGGGCGCTATATAGGGAACCCTACTGTACATGGAGCACGTGCCACAAGTGGACATATTGCCAGCATCCCGGGGTTTTGTTGCAGACCCACAGCATGCTTTGCACTCGAATTGCTTGAATTTGTCAGCAGGTGCATATCTCGCAAACGCTGCCCACATGCCATACCAATTTCAGTTACCAGGGCAAATGTCGTCAAATACTAGGATTTTAGGTCTTCTGCTGACACAATCTCTGGCACATATTTGGACGTAGTTGCGATATTTCACTGTCATGATATGGTTGCTGCATCACATGGACTTGTGACGTTGCATTCATTCCCAGGAGTGAATATGAACGCTTAAATCAAGAGCTCTCTAATGGAGAACCCATTCACAACTTGTATGACAGATGAAGTCTGAACGTGAAGCAATCTGCCCAAGCATATACATCATTGCAAGGTACTTGAACTATCACAGAAAGCAAGTTATGTTTCTTACGGTTCAAGATTGTGGCAATTCGCAACCCAACCAGCAGGCTGTGCCTGCCAGTGGCAGGCTGCCACCCAACACACGTCACAAGTATGTCTAGCTGTCCTTCCATTTCTGGGCGCACCCAGTCACCACCTCAGTAGGCCAGACCACAACTTCACAGACACTGTCTGGTGCACCCACACACGTGTATCTGTACAAATGCATCCATACGCAACACTTGCAGACAATATTCAGCCATGCATCTCTTCCCATTTCCTCTTCACGGCCAGGAACTGCCTCTTCCCCCCTCTGCTCCCCCCTCTGTGCCCGTGCAAGTTGACGCGTCTGAGAAACCGCAAAGGCACCAAGTGCATCAACCCCGCATTTGTTATCCTGGGGTTGCATTGCAGGTCCAGCTCCATGAGAGCATGCAGTCTGCCCAGCGACTCCAAAGCCACATTCGTGACTCTGTGGCACCCCGCAAGATCCACCTTGGTTAAGGATGTCAAGTGCTCCAAAGTGTCCACACCCTCAAGTGTGACTTTCCAAGATTTCCGCAAGCTGAGTTCCACAAGTAACGTTAAGGACGTCAAGGCAGCCAAAGTGTCGTCAAACAGAAGAGGCAGACCAACTAGCCTCAGAACCCTGAGCTTTGTGAGGCGCCCCAGTGGCTGCAGGCCTTCCCTGCTTGTGTCAGGAAGCTGGGACAGAGATAGGCTCTCCAGGGCTGTCAGGTTTGTCAATGCAACGATGCCGCTATTTCTCACCATGTCCCTCGAACTCCAACCACAGTGATGCAGACCTAGCTCGACTAGGCCTGTTAGCGTCCCAAGGAACCCGGCACCATTGTCTGAAATGTAGCTACAGCTTTTCAACACAAGCCTGGACAATGCAGGAAACTGTGCCAACAATTTCACTCCCTCATCACCGCCACCATTGCTGTGTGCCAACGTAGGCCCAATGTCGTTCAGAACGAGGGATGAGATTGCAGTCAGAGCACCCAGGCACTGCACGCCACTGGCAACTGTATGAGGGGGCAAGTGCAGCTCAGTGAGCTTCGTCAGAGACCCAAGCTGACATACACCCTCGTTAGAGACTTTTTTGCAACGGTCGATGTTCAGCACAGTCAAATTCAGCATTAAACCCAGTGCTTTCACTCCTCTGTCACCAAGTGTGCAGCCACGCAAGCGCACTGCTGCAATCCTGGTCAGGCCTGCCAACTGCTGCATGCCATGATCTCCAAATTCAGAACACCCACTCAGGTCGACGTCAGTGAGAGAAGGCAGCTTTTCCAATGCCCCCACACATTTACAAGTAACCCTGCTGTGGCTCAAGTTGATTTTTGTGAGACGCTTCAAATTCACCAGCGCATTCAAATCTCCATCCTTAACAGGAGACCTTGGGTAGTCTGCCTGCGAGTCTGGAAGTAGTTCCAGAGAAACAAGCGTCGTCAAGTCACCAACTTGCACCAAGGGCAAGTGAGGAGTGGAAGGCCTGAAAAGCTCACAGTACTCAACTTTCAGGTGTGTCACCTGATGCAGTCGGCGAATCTCCAGCGGGTCATAATCCTCAACACCAAGCAGAGCAACATCCTCTACCCCTGTGAAGCGCTTTAAAAGTTTGTTGCATGCCACATAATCATAAGTCCCACAATCAATTTCCAGTCGCTGTGTGGCATTTGATGCCCATGACAACCAATGCCGGTTCACAAGGCGTGCATGCTTGAGGAATACAGTGTCCTCGTGCTCTTCCACCATGGCCAGCACTAACTGCAGCACTTCGGGTAGGGCACAGCTCCAGAAACCACCCTCAAGCTGCCATACAATGTTCATGTCACTTGGCAATTCCATACTTTGCATTGCTTCGCAAGGAGTGGCCTCAAAATATGACAGCAATCGTCACACAGATGAGCGATATGTTTGACCATTTTTCAACCAAGTACAAACAGGGTATTGAGAGACATACAGGCACAAAAACGGACATAGCCAAACAGGTCTTGCTCATTGCGCCAATTGTATGATTCCTGGTTCCTTTCCAGAGCTCAGACACCCTGTCCCTACTCTCTCCCTGCATCTTTTCACAGGGTGGAAGAGAAACTCTCACACATTTGCACGGTATGTTTCTCAGATGTCGCAAAAAGTCGTATCCACAACACGATGGATCGTAATATAACGTGGCAGCTGAGTAGGTTCCACAAGTGAATGCAGTGATGTCCTCATACATGCTTCAATTCACAGATGACTGACTTGAAGAATGTGACTTTCGTAAAGCTATGTAGGCATGCTAAGTATCTCAAAGACTCAAATTTATCCTGGGATCGCAAGCACAGGGGAAATAAAGCCCTGAGCCTTCTTGCCAACGACATGTCTTCCTGATTGCTTGCCTCCAGAGGACACTTGTGTTTTGAGAAGCCATTCATTTTTGGACCCTGAGCAATTGGTGTCTTCAGAGAGGCAAAAAGGGAAGCAGTTTCAGGAAAAGTGGCCTGCCTGCTGCAATCCTGTCGCTTCCTGGCTCCGCAGCACCTTGAGCCGCTTGGAACGCCGTGTGCCACTGTCCATGGCAGGTATTCAATCACCTGTGACGAATCACAAGCAGCCTAATCATCAATGAAGGCTGTAGGATGCACGTACCAGACACAAGGACACGTGCACAGAAGAGAACAAGACCTTTGGGAGAGGCAGTGAATATTCCTCAAACTGTCTTGTGTACATTCTGTGGTGTCCTTAATGTTGCACTTTGACATCCAATATGATATCTTGTTGTTGGATTTAATCTTCTTTTTGTGTTCCATATCGCATGCAAATAGGGCATTCAATCCAACAAACAAGCTTGTTCTGACCTGCTGCCCAGGCATGTTGGATACTGGGCACACATTCGACAAAATGGACTTCCAGAGCGCACAGCACAAATGGCTCCATGAGATGCGACAATGAAGTGCCTGCATGCAATCGATCAGGACACAGTTTATGGACTACGCGTGTCAGGGCTGTTATTAGAAGTGAAGGCTGCCTTGGGGAAGAGATACAACTCGTGGGGCAATTAATAATTTCCCTGGCACCTTCAAGGCCGATGCAGGCACATTTCCACCCACGACACATACAAGAGAAAGTCTTGTTTCAACTGGCCACGGCCTTAGAGGAAGACGCAGGATATGGAGCGGCATTTCTGCGTGTGGCCAGCGATCGAATTCGCTCACAATTCGCGCGCCTGGTTTGCCGAGCCTTTATTAAAAACTCCAGAATGATGAAGAAATGCGGACAAGGTCCGAACTTCTGTGTGGGACACAAACAGACAACATTCACGTCAGCCACGCACAGCACCCAAGCAACAAAGAGACCGCACCCAGGCTAGACAACAGCTGGCGCGAGGCCACCGCCCTCGAGCATTCAACTGCACGTGGGCAATCAGTAGTTCGCTGTTGCTGGCCACGCAAGATTCATGATCCAGAGTGGGTCGCCCACCGCTTGATATATTTACCCTTTTGCCAATAAGCAATCCTTGTCCCTGTCCGTCAAAGGACAAGCTTTCCTGCGTCTTGCCCGACAGGCGCCCACAGGCTGGCGGCGCCGTGAATAAAGGCCGGGTCGGACCTCCCGCTGCGGATCCCATCACCAACATTGACACTGGGCCATCCTCGATCTGAGACGCAGCCACGATTGCGATGCTGTGGCGGCGGCGCCCTGCTCACCTTCCGAACGTTCTGCTCCCTTTGTGGACAGTCCCCGCTTCTCACCAGGCGCTGAGGGTGTCGCAACTCCGGCTTCCGCAAGCTTCCGGCGTCCTCTGTACGTGATGGTGGGTTTGATTAGGGCGGTCATTTTCTATCACCGCCAGGATGACGGTCCGCTGAGATTAAGCCAGGCGCCTTTTCACGGCAAGGAATTCAATGCAGTACTTTGCACAGTACTCTATGCTGTGCACTACACAGTGTTAGGAGGTCAGGTTGGTTCATGAGCCGGTCAGTTCCCTGATATTGGGGTGCCCATGGAATGGCACAATGGTTTACATGCACTGATCACTTTACAAGTCAGACAAAGATGCAGGGCTGCCAGATGCGCGCCTATATGCTAAAACACTGGTCATGATGTTTGATGAAAACATTTCGCGATTTTGCGTGTTTGTACCCCTAATTGAAATACGAATGACGTCACTGCCTTGCAATGCGGCATACATGCGAAAATGAGGCTTGGGCCTCGTTTGCCAAATTAGGTGTTGTGCACCACCAAACCGAATGGCACTCGGAGGGCCGCACAGTCCTGACATGTTAATGCAGCGTTAGGACGCCCTCCGTAGGGAGCAGCTTGCCGAAGCACTTCCGGGCCACAGCAGCGTAGCGCTGCAAAGACGTGTCATTGCTTCTTGTTCGCATTGCTGCATTGCTGCAAGTGGCGGGGACCAAAGCCAGCGCCGCTGCCTTCGATTTGGTCACGGTTTCAGATTTTCCAGATTTTCCGCAGCCTGTCAATCGGAATTGCGGGGTGGGCAAAAGGTCACTTTCGCAGTGGAAACCGACATCCATGTGATGCCAACTGCGATGCCATTTGACACCAATTAAAGCCATCAGATGCACTTTTGTGCTATCGCAATTGCTGTCATGGCGCCGTTTTGTGTCAGAATGGCATCGCAGCTGGTACCACAAACACGCTGTTTTCTGATAGTGTTTGGGCTTTGTTTGTCGGACAACGCCTCAACATGTCAGCCACTACATCATCCCTGATGCCTTTGTGCTGCAAGGTGGCCTAATGGCGTAGAGTGTATATTAAAAGTGCGTATTATACGCTTCTGAATTAAGCACATTCATGCAATTCCATGGATTTATGAGACTCTATGCATAGTGACCCACATGTGTGGGTCTTGGGGCGTCCCAGGTCGCTTAGGCACACTGCAAAATTGTGAGATGTTGGCACGGAAACGTGCAGGATGTGTGTCCGTGAGCTTCAAAAGCAATTCATGTTTTGAAATGTTGCATGCGTTTGAAAGGGCTCAATGCATTCAAGCCATCCATGCAACCTTTGTCAACCCGATGGGCAAGATTGTTATCTACAGTCAGAAGCAACGAAATGAGAGGCCAGGTCAATATACCACTGCATAATGGCAAAGTGACAACCCATTGAAGCATCACCTGATCCCTGGAGCGTTGTCCTGCTGGTATACGGCGTGGACTTTGGAAGAGAAAGCAGGAACGCCAGCATCCTGCAGAACCTGGCCAGGTCTGCCCCTCACACAGGCTGCACTAGTGCCCGCTGGTTTTCAAGCACATTGCCTTCCTTCAAACTCTTTTACGTTATACAAGCTTGCCTTAGCATTCGAGATGAACACAACTAGGGGGACGTTAGCGTCATTTTCTTGTCAAGTTTGGGTTGGCGTAAGTAACAATAAAATATCAATAACAACGTCAACAACAGTGTGGCGATGGTGACTAAATGTGAGACAATTAGAAGCCGTGACGGAAAAAATGGGAATGAGAGCATATTTTTTGTCCTGTCCTGTTATCTTTCCTAGGACAGAACAAAACCCAAAAGACAGGTCAGAATAGAGTTGGGACCGTAGATGCCGTCCCCAAACCCGTTGTTGTGTGTGGACTACATTAATGTTTTGTTTTTGCACTGTCCATCTCATGCTTTTGCGTCGTTCCTGTCCATTCCATCCTCGGTCACGGAAACCATTCCCGTTTGTCAACTTAATGTACCAACGGGAACATGGCGATTAGATTCGGACAGATAAGGTGGTCTAAAATCCATCAATGCGCGCCCGTGGCGCACCGGGAATCACCCCGTGGGCAGTGCTCTGCCAAGATGTGTCCCCCCAGGTGCATGCAAGCACACCTTTCTACATCTGGCAACGCGGTAGGCGTTGATGCTATATTGTGAGAAAAGTAACGAAACGACGAACAATGGTGCAGCAAGGCCAATGTAACAGCTCTGGTGCAACATTCGAGCAAACGCCACCACCTAGAGTTATGACGTATGGACGTTGGTTGAATCATTTCTGGGCTACTCACCAACGGCAATACAGGTACAATATTGCATCGACGTCTACCGACTTTACAGATGTACATCTAAGCATCATACATGCGCCTTGAGGTGCGGCACTCCCAGCCGTGTGCAGCACTGCAAGACACAGGTTTCTGGTACCCACAGGCATCAAAAAAATGAAAGGGATGTGCGAGGAGAGAAAGATATGCACGTACAGGTGAGGGAAGAGGTAAGAAATTGCGAGATTGGGCGATGCTTGCAAGCACAAGGGTGACTTGGGCGGGGGCAGCTGTCAATGGTGCTAGGGCCTCCATTGTCCTGCTGGAAACTATGGAGCCAGTAAAATCAGCACTCAAGGGCAACCATCAGGGGCAACCTTGCCGCCCATGTTGAGTGGCTTCTTTGTTTGTGTGGTTCCATGCTGTGCAAACAGCATATCATCGGCGTGTGCCCACACTTGCTGGGAAGACCGAAGCGGGCACCCACATCTGGGCGCCTTTGCTGCCATGTGTTGGCATGCGCACCATCAATCACGTGGCAGAATTACCCCATTGACATGGGATTTCCACAGCGAAAACGCCATCAGTTGCTGTGATCGCCTCACTAGGAAAAAAGGGTCAAATAACACGTGTTTAAATGTGTGCAAAGTTTACGGGTTTGTTTTGCTTTTACCCTCTTAGCGTGCGCAACTTTGATGAAATGTGCTTTGTGTATGTTCGCAAAAGAGTTGTTTGGTCCTTGTTTTACTAGTGTCTGTGGCGGCCAGTCTCTGCAATTGCCAGCCACGTTTGTCCTACGTGATGTAACTTGGCAGCACCTCATGCGCCATACGAGCAACGACCGTACTGATATCGTGCTTAGATTCCAATTCATGCCCTATCACTTATTATAACCTGGTTGTAGCTCCTCTGCCCAAGGGCGATTGCGTACTCGAGACAAAACCGGTAACAGTCCAGGCCAGAATGTTGCCTTTACAGAATTGATATGGCGCAAATGCGCAACATTGGTTCACACAATGATACTGCATTTGAGCCAGCACTAGGGAAAAAGGACGAAATAACACTGTTTGCCAACGTGTATTTCATCAGTGTTTTGCATGTTAAAGATCCAAAACAACCCAAACCCGTTAATTTTATACACGTTTGAACACGATTTGTCTTACTCTTTTTTCCTAGCGCAGTCTAAACATATCATTCAATCATCACTTAAGTGGCCGAAAGCCATGCTGCAAAAATCACATCGATCCCGCTATGTTCTTCATGACATTATCGTATAGCCAATTTTCAGTGGCATAGTTCTACATTAATGCACTGCTCTTTGCTTCACACAGCCGAGTGCCCACTCCACGTCTTGTGTACATCTGGGTTTTGCCTCGCCTTCGGTCCTGAGTTAATCAACCCCTTCTCGATTTCCATTCAATAACCTAGCCACCAAGTTCTGTCTGCTTGCGCCTACCTCCACGCCCAGGTCGCCTTCCTTTCTGGTCAATCCATTTGCGCACAAGGCGCAATACCTGCGTTGGGCAAAGTGGTACCCTATTCCTAAAGGGCAATGAGTTTGACGGAAGAATAGCAGCCTGGACA